TTTTTTTATTCTCATTTTCAACCACACATTTTTAATAAAATAATATTTTCCATCGCATCAATAACTTTTCCTTCATTTTCAACCACATATTCCCCATCACATCACTTCAAAAAAATACATTCTCTCATTTTAATGTACACCAAACAGGCTCTTATTGTGAGTATTCTTACACTACAACAAACAACTAACTACTTAATTGATGATCAAACAATAAGTAGTGCAACGAGTATGTAAAATCAATCAAATAATAACTCGAATTTCTTAATGTCTTGAATTAAAATAAATGAAAATAGGGTTCAACATTCATCCAATACAATTAAAAAACTTAGCCAACCATCCTAATCATTAAACTATATAAAAAATAATGAAAAGACATCACCCAAATCGAGAAATAATGAAGAAAGTGGGGGAATCCAGTTTCTTGGCTTGAATCTTGAAAATGGATGAATATTTTTCAATAAACTTGTATAATTTGCTTTTGGTTGATGATTGCGCCTCGTTCTTTGCCTCCAAAATACGTAGAATATATGATTTTTAGGCCAAAATGAGGTATCCTTCGTATTCTTGTCGAGTTTGGTATGTATAGGATACTTAAAATCTTGTTACCAAAGTAAAATTTCAATTGTAAAAGGAAACAAAATTTCGCCAAAAGTTTGTAATATGCGACCGCATAGTATATTTATAAGCGGTCGCATAGAAGGACATCCAACCATCAATTTTGGCCCTAAAATGCATAATGCGGTCGCATCAAATTAGACCTATGCGGCCGCATAGGTATACGTTTTCTTTCCACCACCTTTAATATTTTGGTCATTTCTTTCTCTCCTAATATCCAATTAAGGTGATTCAAAATACGTTGAAAATATAACTCAAAGAGATACAAATCTTCCAAAAATATAATTTTTCCAGTTCGAACATTTCATACACCAAAAATGGGTCTCAAATTATGACTAAAAATTCGAAACATAACTTTTTCGGCTGGAAGTTGATATGTGATAGTACTTAGACTATATTTCATCCATTTGTCTTCTTTCTTCATCCAATTGATGTCTAACACTCTCAAATCTTCATCGTGAGGTTCGACGTAACTTTTGAATATTTGCATTTCAGTCCCTGAACTTTGTATTTGATACAATTGAGCCCATTTTCGCTATATTTGCATTCTTTTCTCCAATTCTTTATCAAACATTGATTTTACCTATAAAATGAAATAACACAATTTAGGTAATATTTTATCCAAAGAACAATAAAATATCATCATTTAGAACCTCGAATAAGTGTGGAAACTATACTTACCATTCAATATAGATAAAGATAAAAACTCTAATTTTTCATCTACTTTAATATCAAAATCTCATAAATTTATCAAACGCTAAATAAGAAATTATTTTTTTAAAATCCAGTACTTCGAATCAGTAAGTGTATATTTAATTTCGTTTTCGTTAAATTAATCTACTTTTTTAATTAATAAATCTTAAATTTTTTTAACGGATTTAAAATTTGCATAACCATAAATGAGAAAAAAAAAAGATCTGCATGTATATTTTTTCAAATGAGATTCATG